GCATACTAATATCTGGAGTTTGCACATAAGGCGGAGGCATGGAGGCACCAGAAGAAATTGACACATTTGGCTGTGAAATTAGAGTTGGGGGTCCAAGTGGCACAGGTTGCACCTTATTTAATTGGCTAGGTCTTTCAAGGGAATGATGTAATAACTGAGGTGCGTAAGATTGAGGTGGATATCCAATGTTCATCACTGTGCCACCTCTGCCAACAGATTGAAAGTTATGAGAAGACAATCGAGTAACTTGCTCAGAATGCGGAGCTTGAATGGTAGGACGAAACTGGCATGCAAAATATGCAAAACACATGTTAAGGGTTGAGCTGAAAAATAGTCTTCACATACATATTAGACACAAAACATTACCTGAAAGTTCATGGATGGATCATAGCCTCGGGGTAATTCTAAGGAACTCGCATTAGGATGCTGGAATGGCTTTCGAAAAGGGGAAAAAAAATGCTGATTAGATCTAAAATTCAAAAAAATCATATAAGAATACAAATTTTATCATGCCTCTGTACCTGGAAGGTAAAAAAAAAAGGTGGGGAAAAACAGAAGAGATGGGAACCCGCAGAACTATAGTGCACACTTAAAGGCTAATACTATAGAAGTCGCTCTTTAATTTCTTATCCACACAATGAAAAGAGAAATCAGTATGAAAACATGCTCATCAATTCTGTTAATCCATGCGGAAACACCAATAAAAGGCGCCATGAATACTTGATATGCCAAAATGGATATACTAAAATACTGAATACATAATTCAATGGTCTGAGGCATTTAGAAATTAACCCACAGCCAGCGGCCTCAAGGTAGACAGGGTAAAAGGGTATTGGAATAAAGGGGTCACATAAAACAGAACAGATAACGGATAAAAATAGTGCCCACAGTCAGTAGTTTAAATCTATGCCTACCTGAATGCCAGGATACTGAGGGTTATTAGCCATCTTCCAACAGTATTAGCCTCAGTGCCACCAGTGGAAGACTCACCAAAAGAAAAATAGAAAGAACACTAGACCTGCACAACAACAAAAACAGGAAAAATGACAGTGAATTAGTATACAGGTATATGCACTAGGAAAGCAGCAGCGGTACTTTGCCTTCTAAACTTTCTGATAGAAAATCCAGCATGGCATACATATTGACACAGCACACCCCAATACAATGAAAAAAGGGGAGGTATTCAATCAAGTATCTGCAGACAAGTCTACGAAAAAATTGATTTCAGAGGGTGAAAGCGAGCTATTCAAAAAATTCATGACTTGACTAGCCATAATACTTAGATACCAGCAAGTATTAAGAGTGATTCGAAGTAAGTTCACAATTTTCTACTAGAAACTCATCTGATCATAAAATGGAGTTTAGAAATATAAATGAAAACGTTTAGGATGGATCACTAGAGCAACTATTAAATTTTTTATAACCACGCTGTGTAACTTAATCAGCCATAACATGTGGATAAATGCTCAAAAATGATGCACTAAATTAATTACTCAGGAGCTTAAATTTTCAACTCTAGGTTTCACTCTTGCGGATAACATGGAAAGTACAACTAGTCTACAAAGAAATGAGACTAGAAACTAAATCATTCAACCAAAAGATACGGATTTCTTTAGAAAACGCTTACCAAACCCTAATAAGAACAATAGAAATGAGGAAATAACCCAAAACCTCAAACAGTTCTCAAAACTGCTTTTAGTCAATAACAGAGTTCAAACACAAACGCAAAGAGGAAACTATAATTTCCGGCGAAGAGAAGGAAGAATTGCAGAAAATTACCAATCGCCGGCAAGGAAAAGTCGACTAAGAAGTTGAACTCAAAGTTCAGAGCCAACGCGACGGTACTGCGCTTCACCTATTAAATTATTAAAATCGGGAAAAGAAAAAAAAACACATATATAGAAAACTAAAAAATGGTCAATTTGGTGTCTTCAGCTGGGCCCAAATGATCACGAGTTTTGGCCCAAATGCTTCTCACGTGTTAATTCTTAGTTCGGTTTTACTGTATTTTCTCCCGGTTTACGACATCAGACCAAGCTAATTTGGAACGGCCTTAGGAATGCTAACAAATGTCGTTTGCTTTAAATTAATAATCAACTCTTGTAAAACCGAACTCAGAATTTACTTATAATTTGATTTAGTTTTGGTAGCTTGGTTTAGTTCCAATTAGTTTAATTTTTTGTTATTTTCCTCCTAGTAAAAATCTCAACTTTTCCCAAAAATCTTGCGCCTTTTTAAAGATTAACGGCCATGAAGGTTATCTTCCTATGAATATACAAACATATTTAGCGGGCTTTGATTAAAATGTATATAGGCTCAAGCTCATAACTACATACAGTAAAACCTCTATAAATTAATAATGTTGAGATCATGAAAATCTATTAATTTATAGAGGTATTAATTTATCGATAAATTAATAATTATTAATTTATAGAGAGATTTTCCTTATTTGAAAGTTTTTTCAGAAAAATATTTAAAAATGAGATTTAATCATGATAATTAGTATTTTATATAATCAATTACAAAATAATAATTATTATGTCTTGAAAGAAAATGCTTACAATTTTTGATATAGTAAAATATTATAAATAAACTCTAACAAAAACTAATGTGTCTATATATACATATATTTTGAAAATTTTACCTAATTATTAATTTATAATATTATTGGGACCATATATTTACAAAAGATTTTCAAAAAAATTATTATCTTATTATTTTATCGAAATTTGTCTAAAATTACAGTGGTCCCAACTTGGGACCGGAGAAATTTATTAATTTATAGAGATTATTAATTTATCGAGTATTAATTTATAGAGGTTTTACTGTATATCATTATAAGGAAATGAAAATATTAAATACCCTACTCCTCTTAATGTGATTAATGGTTAGAATGTAAAAATGTTACTTATTTTTACAAAAATTATAATCATAAAATAATAATATAAATATGGTTTGAAACTGGAATTAGTATTCTAGATTTCAAGTAGTTCAATTATAGTGTTGATCATACTATAGTATCCAAGATGTATAATCTGAATAAAACTAGTGCATGAGTAAATTAGTAAAAGAAAAATACTTAGCTACGTGATTAAAAACGAAGAATAAAGTTAAAGATTTTAGTGAGTATTGGTTTCTCTAATAAAACCACTGAAGAATTTCTTTGTCAACAAGGATCACTAAAAACCAAATATTGTTCTTAGACAATTATATAATATTGTTCTAATATTGTTCTAATGTATATAATATTGTATGATCACATATATAAAAGTATCAAATACATACGTACAGTATATATGTAGTTTGTATAGTTACGACCTAACACATACACTGTACGTATGAAGTTAGTCAATATTAAAGAAATGAATGGAAACGAGAAGACTTTTACTTATCACAAGAAAAAGACTTGTATAATATTTATTATTATATGAAGATTAGGAAGTGTTGATGAATTAACTTGTACGCATGTGTGAGTCATTAGTGTACTCAAAACTAAAGAAAAAAGGAAAGTTGGAATAGAAAAATGAAAAAAATGAATGAGAAGTAAGTGGAGATACAGCTGCGGCTCGACAGTGTCCTGAGGATCCTATCTGTAAGACAGATTGGTCTTCGTAATCACATTTGATCATCCAGAAACAGTTAATAAACGAAACCATATAGTAAAGTATTATGATGATGAATTGATGATACATACGTACGTGTGGGAACAGAGCAAAACGACAGAAGTTATAGAAGGAAACGACAACATTTGTAAAGCTATTTAGTAGAAATATTTTTTAAAATGTGCCAACTATAAATAGTTACGTGCAGCACAATGAGGGCCAGCTCATCTCTCGAAGTGATGAACAAATACAACAGAGAGACAGATAAAGATTGCGTGAGGGATGGTCCATTGTATTATTCTCTCTAACTAATTAATCTCTATCCTACCCTCCTCTCCTATTATTATTAATCTATCCAATGGGCAGCGATTAAGCTCTTTGCCTCCACCGTGTTTTATTATTTCATTTTGTTTTAGTTTTGTTTATCCCATATAACATTAACATAAATAGTTACATACCACTTTCGAAATCATAGATCCATCAAATCAACTGAATATGTTTTCTATCCTTTGTCCCATATCTACCGACTACAAAATTCCTCTGTGACCCCAAAAAATACAATTAATCTACCGACTACATATTTTATGTAGATAAATAAAATTATAATATCTTCATTCATTGCTCATTTATCTATTTCTCACCTATTAACGTATCTACTTTCAATGCAAACTTTAATTCTTTTTACTCTGTTAAACAAGGATTAAGGTTATTTGGTCATTTATCTTAAATTTTTTTTTTAAAAAAGGTCGAAAAACGCAAGTATTTTGTTTGCAAAACCTTCATTTATTTTATATTAAATAAGTGCAAACCGTTATATCAATTCGATTAATTTACATTATTTTTGTTACATATAACCAGTAGTAAGTACTATAAAATTCTAACAACTCCGAGAAACAAGTATGTTGAAAAATGAGCAGGAGACTGTACTAATTCTCTCATGTTGATGGCGTTATCAGTTACGTTTTTAGATCTATTTCTCATTCTAGTAAGAGAATCTTGAATCTTCCATACAAAAGTAAAATACTATATTACCAAAATACGACCAGGTCCAAATTTCATTTTGCACTGATTATTATGAGATCATTCAAATTTTGTAAAGTTCCATAAATAAGTAATTATATTTTTTTTATCATGTTTTGAGAAAATCCAAATTTGTTTGATTCAGATGAAGTAACAGTATCGTAATTCGTAACGTTAGGAAAAAAAAAAAGGTCTGCCTCTCTGGAATACGATAGGTGAGATAAGAGTTGTTTACTAGTACAGTAATAAGCTCACTGTTTCGTTTTGACCCCACAGAATCTGTATTTTCTTCCCATGTAAAAAAAAACGTAAATAAAATAATAAATAAATATACATTCCCCAGCTATATTCCAGGCTGTGTATTTCCGCTCTCCATTTTTATAGCTTCTTCTTTCCTTCTTCTTCTTCTACTAACATATCTTTATCCTTCTTCCTTCATCAACCTCTCTCTCTCAAGTCTCAAATCCTCCAAATACTAGTCTGTTAAGATTCCAAATCTGAGAAACACTATAATGGATCCGTGCTCTTTCGTACGGATCATCGTCGGCAACTTGGCCGTTCGGTTTCCCTCATCGTCGTCTCCTTCTTCTTCTTCATCAGGACCTTCTGTTTCTGGAATCACTCCATCTCCTCCCAACTGTTACTGCAAAATCAGATTCAAGAATTTCCCCCGTGAGATTGTTTCCGTTCCCGTTCTCTTCCGTTCCGAATCTGAATCCGACGCTCGTTCCTCTTCCACCACCGTCGCTGCTTGCTTCAGTCTTAGCAAATCTCAGCTTGAAGCTTCTCTCAAGAAACCTAAGTGGAGCGTTCTCTCCGTCGAGGCTTACTCCCGCGGTTACAGCGACGCTGACGACGCTGTTACCGGCGCCTCGTGTGGACTCGCTTCCGCGGGTGAGAAGTTGCTCGGTCGATTTGAGGTCTCGCTTGATTTGAAATCGGCCGAGACTAAGACTTGTTTGGCTCACAACGGTTGGGTTGCTTTGGGTTCTAAGAAAGGAAGTGGTAAATCCAATAGAAGTAAAGCTGGATCCGATCCGGAGCTCCACGTTTGTGTACGGGTCGAACCTGACCCGAGATTCGTGTTTCAGTTCGACGGCGAGCCTGAGTGTAGCCCTCAGGTATTTCAGGTCCAAGGAAACACTAAACAAGCTGTGTTCACTTGCAAGTTCGGCTCTAGAAACTCTAACTCCGGTGATCGGAATCTTCTTAACAGGTTAGTTATATCTTCTTCTTCTTCTTCTTCACTGCTTTGATTAGTTAATTGGAACATTGCCTTTTTCTCAGATAGATTCTTTACTTGTTAACTTAGCAAAATTATTAATATGTACAGTGATTGAGATTTGTTATTGATTTTTCTTGTGGTTTAAATATTTGCAGTTCTTCGATGATGTCTGAGTTAATCTCAACGAGAAGTTGTATATCGTCGTTGAAATCGGAAAAGGAACAACCGTCGAAAGAGAGAAAGGGATGGTCCGTAACGGTCCATGATCTATCTGGTTCACCCGTCGCTATGGCCTCAATGGTCACACCTTTCGTACCATCTCCTGGTTCCAACCGTGTCACTCGATCCAGTCCTGGCGCGTGGCTCATTCTTAGACCCGACGGTTGCACATGGAAGCCATGGGGAAGGCTAGAGGCATGGCGTGAAGCCGGTTACTCTGACACACTCGGTTACCGTTTTGACCTTTTCCAAGACGGTATCGCCACCGCCGTCTCAGCGTCTTCGTCTATCAGTTTGAAAAATGGCGGGAGTTTTGTCATAGACGTCACCGGCGGGACCACGACTACGGCGTCCACGCCGACGACGAGTCCTCAAGGAAGCTGGGATTTAGGATCCGGTTCGAGCTCGGGTTCGAGACCGGCGTCGAGACCGGGATCAGGATCCGGGTCGGATTTCGGATATCTGCTGCCGCAGCACCCGTCGGCGCAAAACAGAGGGTTCGTGATGTCGGCTACGGTGGAAGGAGTCGGGAAAAGGAGCAAACCGGAGGTGGAGATCGGGGTGACGCACGTGACATGTACGGAGGACGCAGCAGCGCACGTGGCATTAGCTGCGGCGGTGGATCTGAGTTTGGATGCTTGCAGGCTTTTCTCAGACAAGCTAAGGAAAGAGCTTAGACAGCAAAGCCAGCTTGGTGTCGTTTGACGTGTTTCGCTTTGTCGTTTTACCAATTCATGAGTTGTCTTCCACTCACAATATTTTTTCCTTTTTAATTGTTTTTTTTTTGAATTTTCAATTTCTTAAGGTAGCGTTAGGAAATTAGCCAGCCAATTTTTTTTGAGGAGGTGGATGTCATCATTATTAAAAATTGTTTATATATCTTTCTGTACAGCTAAGTATTGACAGTAACAACAACAACAGCAGACAAGTCATTAGTATCTCTTTTAATTTTGCCGCATTAACAATCACGAATTTCAAAAATCTTAATTAGTAAGGAGTTTCTCCGTTGTAATTACCGGGAGGATCATAGTTGCATGTAATAAAAGTACCACCAGAGTTACACACAACTTTAGCGCATCCCAATCGAACTGTGTTTTTCCAAACCACTTGTGTGTAATGAAGACATGTGCCACCGTTTGGATCGTTACACGTGTTGGTGCTGTAGTCGTAGTACTGTTTCTCGTTGATCCACATTTCCGCAGCATCTTCAGCCGACATCTCTCCACTACTCATCGCTATGTTCTCTCCAAATGGTCCATTCGAATGGACCAATGCACAATCACTGATCCTCTGGCTCGCATAGCTGGCGGCGTAAGCAGCGACCTCATCGTCCCAAACCAGTGGGTCAAGCCCAACCTCTTGCCGGGCTTCGTTGTGGGGCTCTAAGAATTCTTGTTTCAAATCTTCGGCTAGAGAGCCATAACAGACAAGAGATATTGCAACGAGAAGTAAAATGTTGGTTTTGAGTAGAGACATTGTATTACGGATTGGTAAATTAAGTTTAAGGAGTAATATTTATATTTGAAAATTTATGATATATTAGTAGTTACCAATATCTGGATTATAACAGGAAACAAATTCGGTTATTTGTTTGCCAAAATTAAAAAAGAGGACCATATTTTACATACTCTCCATACTAAAAAAAGAGACAACTAGTCCAAGTACATGCTATTCTTTGTATACATTGGATTTTGCTAATTTTGGGGTTTTGAATATGTTGTACACGTCTCTATTGATAACGATTTGAAGTCTTCTATCTTCTTATTTTGGAAATAAGAGATTACAATCTAATCGTCGGATAGAAAACCAATATTTAGTTTTATCAAAATGGTAGGAAAAAAATTTGTTTGCAATATTTATATCCAACACATGACATGATTCAAGTAAAATGGAAATGTTGTTCAGCACTTTGACTTTTTGATTTTCTCACAGCCACTCCTAATTGCCTTCTATTTAAGTTTAGATACATGAGTTCATTTTTTCTTCATTCTCGATCGCTATGTTATTCCTTACGAAATAGGATAGAGCCAATTATATGGAAAGAAATGATATAATAGAACGAACAAAAAAAGAAGAATCAAAGGTAGGTGATATATATTAGAAAGAAAAATCCATAAATAAGAAATAAAGAGGAATTATATAACCTTCAAAAAAAAAAAAAAAAAAATCAACATAACACGTTGGTGCATGAATGTAACAAAACCCATGAACAAAAGAACTAACGAATAAAGAGGAACAAATATAATAATAGTTCAAATAAATTTTGAAAAAAACACAAACCGCGCCTACTCATCAGTTTCTTTCTTCACCTTCCCCGTCCAATAACAACAACGACCACGTTTTATGTTTCCGGCAAAGAGATCATCAATGTTCGGGCCACTATTTATCTTTCGTCTTCTCTTTATACTTCCGGTCGTCTCATCGAGTTCCAACCGTAGTCAAGAAATCGTCAACCTTCTCAAATTAAAATCAATATTTGGAGAATCTGAATACGACGACGTCTTCGCCACTTGGACTCATCGGAACTCGGCATGTGAATTCGCCGGGATCGTATGTGATTCCGGCGGAAACGTCATTGAGATCAACCTCGGGAGTCGGAGTTTGATCAACCGCGGCGGCGACGGTTATATTACGGATCTTCCTTTTGATTCACTATGTGATATGAAGTTTCTAGAGAAGCTTGTTCTTGGAAACAACTCCTTGCGTGGCAAGATTCATCATAATCTCCGGAAATGTAAACGGTTGAGATACTTAGACCTCGGCATCAACAACTTTTCCGGTGAGTTTCCGGCAATTGATTCGTTACGATCACTCGAGTTCTTGAGTTTAAACGCTTCTGGAATCTCTGGAAAGTTCCCATGGAGTTCTCTTAAACACCTGAAGATTTTGAGTTTCTTAAGCGTTGGAGATAACCGGTTCTATCCGAATCCATTTCCCACAGAGATTCTAAACCTCACCGCCTTGAAATGGGTTTATCTGAGCAACAGCAGCATCACTGGTGAGATTCCAGAGGGAATTAAAAACCTTGTTCTTCTACAAAACCTGGAGCTCTCTGATAATGAAATCTCTGGTGACATTCCAAAAGGGATGGTTCAGTTGAGAAGTCTTAGGCAGCTTGAGATTTACAACAATTACTTGACCGGTAAGTTACCTTTCGGGTTTAGGAATTTGACGAGTTTGAGGAATTTTGATGCCTCTAACAACAAGTTAGAAGGTGATTTGTCAGAGCTCAGGTTCTTAAAGAACCTCGTTTCTCTTGGATTGTTCGAAAACCGATTAACGGGTGAGATTCCAAAAGAGTTTGGAGATTTCAAGAGTTTAGCTGCATTGTCTCTTTATAGGAACCAGCTTACAGGGAAGCTTCCGGAGAGGCTTGGATCTTGGACAGTTTTTAAATACATCGACGTGTCTGAGAACTTCTTGGAAGGTCAGATTCCTCCTGATATGTGTAAGAAAAGTGCAATGACGCATCTTCTGATGTTGCAGAACAGATTCACAGGAAAATTTCCAGAGAGCTATGCTAAATGTAAGACTCTGATTCGTCTTCGGGTAAGCAACAACTCTCTCTCTGGTGTGGTTCCTTCAGGAATTTGGGGTCTTCCTAATCTCCAGTTTCTTGACCTTGCTTCAAACCTTTTTGAAGGAAACCTCACTGATGATATTGCTAATGCCAAGTCTCTTGGTTCTTTAGATTTGAGTAACAATCAGTTTTCAGGTTCTTTACCGGTTCAGATCTCAGGAGCTAACTCGTTAGTGTCAGTCAATCTTCGCATGAATACGTTCTCTGGGAAAGTCCCTGACTCTTTTGGTAAGCTTAAGGAGCTTTCAAGTCTCCATCTTGACCAGAATATTATATCTGGTGCTATACCAGAGTCATTAGGCTTGTGCACATCTTTGGTTGATCTAAACCTTGCTGGAAACTCACTCTCTGAGGAAATACCTGAAAATTTAGGATCCTTACAATTACTGAATTCTCTGAATCTCTCAGGAAACAAACTATCAGGAATGATTCCTGTTGCCTTATCGTCTCTGAAGCTAAGCTTACTTGACTTATCCAACAACCAATTGATCGGTTCTGTTCCAGAATCACTTGAAAGTGGAAGCTTTGAAGGGAATACAGGGTTATGCAGCTCAGAGATCACATATCTTCATCCATGTCCGCGTGGAAAACCTCAGGGACAAGGGAAAAGGAAACATTTGTCTACAGTCGACATATGCTTCATCGTTGTATTGGTACTTGCTCTGTTTCTCTTTCTCTGTTACGTGATTTTGAAGATAAGACGAGATAGGTCGAATCAAACGGCTCAGAAGAAGAAAACCAACTGGCAAGTGAGCTCTTTCCGGTTACTGAACATCAACGAAATGGAAATCATTGATGAGATAAAGTCAGAGAATCTCATAGGCAGAGGCGGTCACGGGAATGTTTACAAAGTAACACTAAAAACCGGCGAAACACTAGCAGTTAAACATATCTGGAGACAGGAGAGTCCCCATGAAAGCTTTAGAAGCTCAACGGCAATGTTAAGTGATAGCAACAACAACAGAAATAGTAACAGAGAATTCGAGGCAGAAGTCGCCTTGCTAAGCAATATAAAACATATAAACGTTGTAAAGCTGTTCTGCAGCATAACGTGTGAGGATAGTAAGCTGCTTGTATATGAGTATATGCCTAATGGAAGCTTGTGGGAGCAGCTGCACGAGCGTCGCGGTGAGCAAGAGATTGGGTGGCGTGTGAGACAAGCGTTAGCTTTAGGAGCTGCTAAAGGGATGGAGTATCTGCACCATGGGTTAGATCGGCCAGTGATTCATGGAGACGTGAAGTCCAGCAATATATTGCTTGATGAAGAATGGAGACCGAGGATTGCTGATTTTGGGCTGGCTAAAATCATCCAGCCTGATTCCGCTCAACAAGATTTCTCAGCTCCTCTTGTTAAAGGAACTCTTGGTTACATTGCCCCAGGTATGTCAAATCTTCAAGTTTTGTTATGAATATAAGCATATGTCCTTAAACGATTGTCCATATATATGTGGGGGGGGGGGGGGAACTGAACGCATGACAATCCAAGTTTACTACCTTTTTAGGTCAACTTATCTTTAAGTTTCTTGCTTCTTAAGCATCAAATTCCTTGCATTTTCAATCTGCAGTTATGTAACCTCTGTCAATTTTGTTCACAGAATATGCATACACTAGGAACGTGAACGAGAAGAGTGACGTGTACAGCTTCGGGGTGGTTTTAATGGAGTTGGTGACTGGGAAGAAGCCGGTTGAGATAGAGTTCGGCGAGAATAGTGACATCGTCATGTGGGTTTGGAGAATGAGCAAGGAGATGAACAGAGAGATGATGATGGAGTTAATCGATCCGAGTATAGAAGATGAATACAAGGAGGATGCTCTGAAAGTTTTGACCATTGCTTCATTATGTACGGATAAGTCTCCTCAGGCTAGACCGTTTATGAAATCAGTGGTTAGTATGCTAGAGAAAATAGAGCCTTCCAACAACAACGATGGAGAAACAAGTTACCATATATGAGAGTGCTAATGATGAGATTACCAAAAGTTGTATAGCTCATCTTAGACTTGTAGTAACTAATCGAGCTCAAGCCCATGCAATAAAAAAATTTCTTGATTGATTTTAAAGTTATACAAAGTTCTCATTTAAGTTAAGGTTACTCAAAAGGCCATAACAACAAGATACATCAAATAGTAGTATGGAAGGATTAATGAAAGCTGAAAAGTCATGAAAGGTTCAATGATAATATAATGTAAAGACCACTCATGATCGATAACACGTTCCAAATAAATATTTAATTTTGGAGCGATATTAAGTAGATAAAGCAAACTGCTTCTTTGATAGGTACAAAGATGAAGCAAACCATAAATTATTTGGAAAATACATCGCAGGGACACGACATGCACATGAGAAACACAAAGATCAGAGACATCTTCGTGATGTTTCTTATATAACTTGAATATAATATATATTTGGTATGAAGAAACAGTTTCAACTTCTTTTCAACCCTGACGGTCAATCTCAACAGTCCATCCCTTCGTATCCTCGACCCGACCAGTCTGGATATCACTTAACATCTCGAATAGCTTCGCAGCCAATGTTTCTTCCCCTGTTTTGAATCCGGTCCTGCGTTGAGTTTGTTTATACACTCTCAATTATTTCAGTCAACCTAACTAATTAATATTAAATGTAAAAAAATAATCAAAATATAACTAAACGGAAGGGAATGTTACTTTTTGTCTTTGAAGGTAACGGACGCAATACTAGTCACAATTGAAGCAGTCCCGGTACAGAAAGCTTCGTCCGATTCAAGAAACTCCTCTAGAGGAAGCACACGTTCCTCTACCTGTATTATGACAAATATTATTATTAATAAGTTGTTTGTTGGCAAATTACGATTGAATCAAATAGATATTGACACCTTCATGATATTGAAATATTCCAACCTGGTAGCCGAAATCACGACATAATTCCATTACACAGTTTCGGGTGACTCCGGGCAAAATAGTTCCTGTAAGTGCTGGTGTCGATACAACATTTCCCTATATTATACATAAAAATATCACAACCATCTTAATATTCTATAACACTTCTAAACTAATATCATCAAGATTTCCCAAAATGAATAATGTATATATGTTAAATTATTCACCTTGAGTATGAAAACGTTAGCTGCGAAAAGTTCTTCGACGTTTTTACCGGTCTCCGCATCCAGAAACAAAAGATCAGAGAAACCTTGTCTTTTCGCCTCTGCCATTGGTATCCACACCTATATATAACAAGAATTGTTTTACATAATAATCATTTGGTGAGAATCTAAAACAAAATTTTGATATATTATTTTTTACTTTTAACTTACAGGAGAATAGTTTGTGATGCTCTTCACACCACCAGTTCCACTAGGGAAAGCTCGACGGAACTTATCTTCGATTTTCAGATTCAAGCCAGAGTTATCCTATACCAAAAAGAACCATTTAAAAGAACAGTCAAACATGTAATTCTCATTAGCTTATATTTTTTTTCGTTAATTAAGTTTTTGATGCATGTTTTTTTTTTGTATATTACTTTACTTTCCTTATAATTAATTTCATACGCGAACAAGAACACACTCACCTTATGATAACGTCCAACAGGACAGGCAAAGGCCATGAAGGTGGTCTCAGGAATCGGAAATGAACCAAGAATCGGACCACTCCCAAACAAGATAGGCCTTATATACAATGTTCCTTTCCCCGGAGGTGGAATCTACATATATATAAGATATCCTCTTTAATTATATCTTTCATTTTTGTAATTATAAGTTTTATTATCTTACAGAGTTCATTTATACTAATAAAATATATGTATACCCATTTCTTGTTGGCGAGAACAACTTGTTTGATGGCAGAAACGAATTGATCGACGGAAGGATAAGGCATATAGAGTCTCTTGGCTCCGGCTTGGAGACGGTGACCGTTTTGGTCTGGTCGGAATAGCATGATCCGACCATCTTCTGTTCTGTAAGCCTTCAGCCCTTCATATAAACCCTAATCATATATACCCAAGCCACCATTATACATAACTCTTTTTTAAATTTTTAATAGTTTAATGCATGCAAGATACCAAACCTGGCCATACTGAAGAACGGCAGCGCAAGGGTTGAGTTGCAAATCAGCAAAAGGAACAATCTTGCCCTCTTGGAAATCTTCTCCATGGTTGCACTTGGCCACGTACATGTTGTCCGTACGAACGAACCCAAATGCCAACTCTTCCCACTTCACATTCGCATACTTTTCATCCGAAACACTGAAAAAGTTTGACATACAAAAAATAGTCGTCAATCATAATAGTTCATACAATAAGTATATATAAAAAAATTATGCCATGTTATTTACTTTTTCTTAGTATAAATCTTCTGTTTTTGTTTCTTTAATGATATATAAAGATTTGATCACGTACCTTGTTGGAAGAGGTTGATGAGTAGAAGGAGCCATTGATAAGCTTGTTTGAGTCGAGTTGCTTCGTTGTAAGAAATTTTGAGTCGTCGTCTATAGACCTTTGGACTGCTTCTCTTTATTTATATACACACTAAATAATATACACGTTTACAAAAATTTATTTATTTATGTTTTTAATCATAATAATAAGCGTAAACGAATACAACAGAATCTCTTTCAACCATTTCTTTTTTTTGGTCAAACTTTTTAAAACTCTTTCTGTAAAAAGAAATATTAACTTGTATTATTTCGAACAGGAAGGCCAGAAACAAAAGCGATTAGGTCATGATATTACAATTTTTACTGTGCATGTTTATTAATTTAAAATTTAATCAGTGATCAATTTCTTCTATATGTCGACTGTTTTCAATTTATTCGTTTATTCAACACTATCATTGGAGTTTCCGAATTCTTTGTCTAATTAATTAAAATTGTCCGGTTATTTGACTAACCTTTTTTCTAATCAGAAATGATAATAAATGGGAACTCTAGTTAGATCACAACATAATTATCACGTGGAGAATACTATACGCTTACTTTACATTCTCTATTTAATCATATTTTGGAGAAAATGGGATGGCTGAAAGAGAGTGTGTTTAAAATGCAAATGTGTTCCTAGTTAGGTGGAGAGGGTTAACGGGTAGGAAGGAGGGTAGGTCAATTCAAATGTATGTATGTGTGTGTTACTGTCTATTACCTACTGATAGATAAAAACTTATAACACAAGAACTACAAGCTGTAAAATAAGATAAAAAAAAGATATGTGTATTATATGTATTTTTATGTCAGCTCAAATTCTAACTTTGATTCATATGCGGCTACTTCGAATTTGCAAATTACTCGAAACCACAGCGTTGTATCTTTATTTTTGGACATCCAAAGTTGAAACACTCGTTTCCCTAATGAATATCACCACTCTTCTTCTATTGTTTCTTAGCCTAAGATTAAAGCATATTATACAAGTTATCCATTGACTCGAGGTCTCGAGTCACTGCTGCAACGATGGCGCCTTTGGATTTTGAGCAAATTCGTGAGAGTTTAGCTTCTCATTCATCACTCTGAATTTCTCTTTTATCCTCTTTATCTGTACCACAACATGAAATCATTATTAAACTAAATTGTAACCTAGTAAGTTCTTGCTTCAATGCCAAAGAGGAAAGAAACATTGATCTTAAAAGTCAGGGTTTGAAGTTTTGGTTTACCCTTCTCAGCTCGATCTCCGTACTCCGTTTCTTTTGATCAAGTGATTGCCGTAGATTTGTGATGTCAAAAATACTATCCAGGTCGTCTTCAAATGCATTTTCCAACTCTTCCCGCAGAAGAGCAGGTAACTTATCAACGATGGGCATTAGAAGAAAACAGTTGAACTGCAGAAAAACACATATACAAACTTTTAACGTATGAGTCATTTTGGAAGCAAGAATCTGTGTACAATTGAATAGAGAGCATATTCAACCTTTAACTCAGCAGAGGCTAGAAAGTACTCTCGTATGCCCTGGAATATTTGTTGAACCAATGCATAGACAATTCTCTCAGAAGAAGGAGCAAGCTTGCGGTTCCAAAGAGTGCTATCTAGAAGATCAGCTAACCGCATTTCTGTTGTCTGGATACTGGAACCTGAATCGATGTTTGAGGCCAGATGGCTTAGCTTTACATCTGATCTTGACTTTGTGTCTACTGTGCCACCTGGTCCATCTTGGGGAAGACTAAATCCTATGGGATTACCTGATGTAGTAAGTTGCTCTGTTCCGCCAAATGAGTCCAAGAATTGACGTAGACCAGCTCGGTTCTATATAACATTGATAAAAGATATGGAATTAGAAATTGACACCAAATCGGGATAAGTTTTTATGTATCCTTAACGAGAACAGTTTTCCTTATACTATTAATTTGATATGCACATCATTCAGTTCAACTGAAAAAGAGCTATAAAGCTGTTGACCTTGTTGTGAAGAGACCATGTAACATAGCGAGTGGTACTTGCCAAGTCCTCCATACATCTGCAATTAATATAAAACCGAAGGAAGATTACTCACTGAAGCTCACTAAAACACTGGTAGAAGGCAATGCAAACTGGGTTTTATAATCACTAAGTGTTGGAAAACATAAGTTAAGTGCATGAAATGGAAATAGATTTACTTGTCACGACATGATTTTTCTGTGGACTCCACAAAACTGTTGAAAGCTGAAGCAACCCGCTTGAGAAACACCTCATGCCCACTTAAGTATTCACCTTCTTTCTATCAAAATATAAAACATACATCATGAAATTTGCTGGAAAAGAAAACTGAGCTGGACCTCCTCAAACCAAAGAAAACAGTGCCTACCTGAAGAAGATATACAGAAATTGGAAGCAATCTCTTGAGAATGTGTAGAAGCCTCGCCCCTAACTACACCAACACAAAACAAACGGACATGAGAATTGAAACTTTCTGTATGGAATGATAAACATGTTGATAACAAAAATTCAGATGAAAGTATCCCTAAACATAGTTCCTGTAACCATATGTTTACTAAATAAATCTTGAGGAAAAATAAAGTTGCAGCAAATCTCAAATCTGAATTGTGGTAGGATTCTATATGTAGTGTTATATTTCAATATTTCCTATCATGTATAACTAAATTTATTAGTAAGACTGCTTTCCATCCTCCACAAAAGAAGAAGAATACAGTAGACATATCTTTATCACCTGATGAAGGAAAGGTTCAAACGTCTCACGAGCCTTTGCAACTGCTATAACGCAAGCTGTTCTACAACAGCAAACAAGAGAAAAGAGAATAAGAGGTCCATAGAAAACATGAAAATCATTGCAGCTTAGATAAGATACTGAAAACGGGTCTGAGATACAAAAACAATAAAACTCAGAACTGTGTTGCATCTCAGCAATGCTATAACACCTGGAATAGTTCGTTCCATCGTGAATATCCTCAACTCCACATGCATTCACAATTTCCTCCCGTGTTATTGGGGGACATTTAATAGCACCTACTAGAAAACGGAACTCAGCCATGGCACGGTGATACTGTGCACCCCCGTAAAGACGCATCCCTGCATTCTGTAAACGAAAAAGAATTTGGTCATGTTCTTCTATAATACTTGAAGGTTCAGCGAAGATCTCTTTTCTTTGTTTCCAATTTTTCTTTGGCCCACATGTTTCATCGGTCAATCTTTGATCATATTACAATCCATGTACAAGGACAAGACAGCTGGATTATGAAGACTACGCCCAACCTTCTCTATATAGTAAGAAGTTTCTGGATCAAGGGAAACACTTACTGGTATTAACTTATGTGGGAACTGGAGACCATCAGTACCAACAAATGCTCCTCCTTGTGTCCTTTCATCTTGTAATGTCTCACCTGTAAAACATCATGTAAGTTATTAACTATCAAAGAACCTAACATAAAGAGAATGCTGATATAGAATGTGCTTCCGCAAGTAATCAAAGTATCATGACCAATGATTGATTGATTAGCATACATCATTTCGTGTGTAATCATCGCACTCTGGCGACTCAGTCTAACTGAACACTATGCATTTAACTAAACTCATATTGCAAAAATCCAGTTCAACTACAACCACAAACAAGAAAGATTATTACCAAAGACAGTGACAGGTAAAGAACAGAGCAGTAACATTACCAAATTTATCTGGAGGGGCCACAACCGTTCCTTTCAATAACAATGATAACTGGTCGTGAAAAATAAAAACAAAACAGGTGAGAAAACACAACACTGATCAATACTAACAAAGGTAATTCGTACGTCAATCAGAAAAGAATGATACAGTGAGTTTAAAGTTTAAGGGCATCCAACACGGCAAACTTACAATCAATTTAAATTAGTAGCAAGTCCTAGATGTCATTAACTGTTTCATAATTATTTGTGTCAAAAATCAATTAGAAAGAGAAAGTACCGGTGACCAAAAAAAAAGAGAAAGTACCAAATAAACTTGCTGTTGTAGCACAAAAATTATTATTCTTAGAGTCCAGGAACAGATGAAAAATATATGAAGGCATACTTATAAATCTTAAAATTCGGAATGCTCCTACAGTTACCTTGGTTAAGAAGAGATCATGGAAAGTCCTGCCTCTCTCTTTGAGTTTTGCTTCATCTAAAGAGCTGCATTGAAAGGACCACCAATGCGTTTCTCAAGTCAGTAGAGGACAATTAAACAGTCTAAAATCACGTAGACATTTTCAGAAAAAAACAAATTGCAACCTAAGTTCCTTGCTAACGGTATCTAGTTTTCTGACTGTACTGCGGTACTCCTTTCCTAAAAGTGGAATGATCAATGGAACACTCTCTTTGTACCTGAAAATAGAATGGCATCAAGTCAAACAAAAATGTAAACTAGAGAGGACACAGAAGCTGGAAAATCACATACAACAAAGAGAAGGTTTACCTTTTCCAGAGTAGTTCTTCTAGAAACAACCTCAGTTTACTAATACCAATTCTATTCTTTTCCTGCTTAGTCAGCAAACGGCCTAACTTCTTCTCTAAAGATGAAATGTCTTCCATTTCTCTAAGTGACACAGCCTGCAATAAAAACCACACACAGTTGGAATCCATGAAAAGAATTAGGAATCAGAAAGCAGAACATAGACCTGTTTGAAGTCGTCATTGGACGTATATACTGAATCCTGCCCATAGCCGACTCTTCCGGAAGGTACAGACGTGAAAAAAGGGGAATCGCCCAATAAGGAGCTGTCAAGTGCGCTTGCAGGAGGTGAGAGGAAGACTTCCACGTCGGATGAACATGAGAATTGAGGGATTTTGGTGTCAAGCTTTGTGGAAACAACAATTGTCCTAGAAAGCTCAGGATCAACCTACATGAATAAGGAAACAAATTTAAAAGAAAAATAAGGTTAAGGTTAAACTCATTGGAGTTTACGTAAAGTCTCATACTTGCATCACTATCCTTCGAGTAGTTGCAATACTCCAGTCACTGCTGTCTTCGAGGCATAAAATAATGAACTCTTTGTGTTGCATCTTTGCTCGGACTAGAGCTTCCACAGCCCGTGCTTGAACCTAAGAGAAAGAACAAGTAACCACTCTCAAATCT